AATAGCTTACCACCCTTCTCTGCCTATATACACACATACACACACACTCTTAGTAACTTAGTCATTAGTAACTTCAGGGAATAAAATCAAGCAGATTTGCCACTCAGATACATCTTACACATGCTATATATTGATGGAGTCATGCTATTTAGTGACTACTATTTATTGTTAATTGACCAACACTCACTTATTGAGTGGCTGAATTATGCAAGTTCCTATAATGAAAACAAAAGTACAGTTATCCCTTCCACATCATGACTTTCCCCATCACAGTTCTGACATATTGCCACTAAGCATAAGAAATTAAATTGGCATTTTTGGGGAGTTTTGGGGAAACCAAAGGCAAGACAGAAAAAGTTTAGAAAACTCAGAAATGCATAAAATATATGTATAGCATTGTATAATATCAACATATTTTATCTTTTAATACAGTAAACACCCCATAAGAGAAAAAGAAAAAATTCAGACCTCTCTGGTATGAAGGCAGGGCCAAAAAATTTTACAAGGATTTTCCCGATTGCCAGGGCACCATGCCCCTAACCCCTAGATGTGGAAAGGATAACTGCGAGACCTCTACTTTTAAAGAGCCTACAGCACAGTTAATGAGAACAAGCTCTCACATTTAAAATACTACTAAATATAAAACATGTACATCCTAGAGTATGTGATAGAGAAGAATTGTTCACACATTTAAGGAATTCAGAGGAGTGAGATCTCAATGAGAAGTGGAATAATAACCATTGGTTTTAGGGAGAAGGAAGGAAACAAGTATTTAATAAACATTTACTATGTTCCAGGCATTGTGCTAAGTAGTGAGAATACAAATACAAGCAAAAATATAGTCCTGGCCCTCAAAGAGCTTACACTGGGGAAGACAATACACAAAAGGGAGCTGCAAAGCTAGGGGAAGGGGGAGTGTGATCCTATGAAGAAGGCATCGTCCATGGGAACATGGTTTTGAAGTCCAGAAGCCAGGAACAAGGTAGGGAAAAGAATGAAATCCAGCCCAAGACCCTCCACAAAATGGAGGTTCCAGGAAGAACTCACCACTGTAAAGATGTGGGCCTTACTGACAGATGTTCCAGCTTGAGAAGGCCCCAGGCAGAGAAGTTTCAATGTTCTGGGTCAAGGAGGTCCCAGGTACTAAGGGAAGTTCCCAGTTTGGGTCTGTGTCCAGCTCCAAATTATTGGATTTTACCCTCTTTTACTTAATTATTTTGCTTTCTTGTGTAACAAGACCTCTGTATCTGGACTACATGTTCTTGAATAGGAGAGTGAGAACACAAAAGCAGCATTTAAGGAAGATTAATCAAAAGAAGATGTTTGGGATAACGCTATACAATAATGTGAACATTGTAAAGTTGTAGTTCAGATATTTAAAGAATTCAAAGACTACACAATTTCTACACTCCAAAAATTCATAATCTAAATGGAACATTGACAATTTATGATTGTTTATTTAAAAAAAGAAAGGGATAAAAGGGAATGAAAAATAGGGAAATTTTGATGCACTTTTAAATAAATTTTAGTTTTCTTCCCAATTCACTTGACTACTTCCCAATTCACTATTTATCTTATATAAAAATTAATAATTCCTTCTTAGTGTTGTCTTCCTGAAGAGTAAGATTATTAAAACAACTTGATATTTAAAAAATTATTTTTAAAAATTTTCTCCTCTGAAAGAATGCAGTGTCAACTATAATGAGATATATGATCAAAGAAAGGCCTATTATGAAAATCTGTCCAAATTTGGCAATTATCTAAATGGTAGAGGGTAGCAGAGAAATGAATAATCAAATATGACAAATAATCTAAAAACATTTTTTTATCCTGTCCACCCTACCTAATCAGTTTTATTTCCTGAAACGCTTCAATAGTCACTGCCTTTGAATGTAGGCCTCTCTAATATTCTGATCATCTGCAAGTAAATAAACAAACCACACTGTAAAGATCTAAAAATAAAGCAGAAATGAGAAGGCTGTCTAGTTTCTCTTTCTCAACCTTCCTCCTCAATCTTCCTTGCAAGTCACTCCATGACCAAAGTAAGCAACTACCTACAAAACTCAGTCTCAACAGCAATCTCATTCCAAAGCAATGTGTAATGAAGAATAAGTTATAGTCGCCAAATATCAAAGACACTGACAAACTGGTCATCCAGGACCAATTTTTAAAATTACACCTACTGACGGTGCCAACTTGAACAAGGGACAAAGTTACTAGTTTCATTACAGGTTGAGCTGAGCCCACACAGGGCCACCTTTATAAACTGAAACACTGCCGTTTTTACAGGAAGTGTTTGTTCATTCTCATTCTCTGTGTGTGTGTGTGTGTGTGTGTGTGTGTGTGTGTCCCTCTCTCTCTCCTGGCTCCCATCCCCTCCCCTCTCCTCTCCATATTTTTCCATTTATATGTTCCATATTCTCTTCAAGTTCCATTCTACCACTCAGTGTTTGAAGAGAAAATGGTGGAGTTGTGGACAGATGATTGTCTTGGGAGTCAGGAAAATTTGGGTTCAAGTTCTGACTCTGATATGTAGCAGTTGTAGTTTGGACAAGTCACTTCCCATTCCCCAGGCAAATTTCTATAAATTTCATTTCCAGGGAGCTGATGATCTGCCACCAGTGTAAGGAGTTTACACAATCATGCCTACAATGCACCTAAGTTCATTCATAAAGTTTGTCACTTTATGTCTATTTCAGTTGTATGGCATAAACTCAGCAAAGTCAAGAAATTGTGCATAATTTTCTCAGAAAACCTGAAATGTAAATGTTCACGTTAAAGTATGTCACTTTTAAGAGGCTTAACCTACCACTTCAGATAGCTTGCCTCACACAAAGCTGACACTATGTTGTTCAGGCATTTTAGTCACGTTCAATCAAAGATACTGAAGGAGTTCGCCATTTCCTTCTCCAGCTCAGTTTACAGATGACGAAAATGAGGCAAACAGGGTTAAGTGATTTGCCCAGGACCACATAGCTAGGAAGTATCTGAAGCTGGATTTGAACTCATGAAGATGACTCTTCCTGATTCCAAGCCCAGTACTCTATCTAGTTGCTCATGACACAATGTAGGCATCATCAAAAGATAACATGTGATTTTCATATGGGGAAACTGAGTATTAACATATAAATGTGAATATTCTTCTGGGGTAGGGGGGAGAAAAGGGAGGGAAAGAAGAAAAGAGGAGAAATAGGAGAGAGGAGAGGAAAAGAAGAGGGAAAGACAAGTAATCTAAGGATTTGTTCACATAACTGTAACCAAAATTTGTATTTTAAAAAAATAATAATGATTCTTTGCAGTATTCCCTAAATGTTAATAGCATTTCATTTACATCTTAAATGGTAGTCAATAAAAATAGCATTTAATCTTTTTAAAATAAAATTATATATGCTGGAAAGATAAAAGTTTTCTTCTTGTTATAATGTTATCAAAAGGGTGGTTTTTTTTCAGAATTTCAACATTTTGCAGATATCTCAGATGAAATGTTCAGCTTATTAGGCATGAGTATTTGAGAACTTCTCAAGGACCCTTACCTCAATCTGTTTACAGAGAGAAAATGGGCCAGGGTCTGTCAGTCAGTCAGTCAATCAATCAATGAGCTTTTATTACTGGCCTAAGTGCTGAAGTAGTCTCGGGTTTCTTAAGTTGTTTCTGATGATATTACCACAGTAACAAGGCATGTAAATTTCATGGCAGAGTAAGGGAAGAAGAGTGGTTTACTCCTTAGCTGCAATTGTTCTGGTAAGGGGGCATTTATATACTTGGCAAAAACTATACTAATAGTTTAATCATGCAACTTTTATTCATAATGACTTGAGTTGGTGATTACCATACTGAATAGCATATCCTAGGAAAATGTTAAGTATAGTTTATGAGCTACCAGAAAATATGTGCATGATAATACAAATGGAAACCAGCCCAGCATCAGCTTTGGTTGGTTAGTTGGTTGGTTTTTTAGTAGGTCCAGCCAAACATTATAGAATCAACACAAAAATGAAATGGGCAACTAACTTATATGCTACCATCTCAATAACAATCAAGCACAGGGGTGGGGAACCTGCAGCCTCAAGGACACATGTGGCCCTCTAAGTTCTCAAGCACTGCCCTTTGACTGAATCTCTTGTTTTGTGAAGTTTGGATTCAGTCAAAGAGCCACATCTGAGGACCTAGAGGGCCATATATGGCCCCAAGGCTGCAGGTTCCCCACCCCTGGGCCAGATTTAAACACCAGCAGACTGAATTATTTAATATTGTTTACCTGGCATAAATCAGTGTATAATACTCCATTTTTAAGACATTTTGCAGAATATCGAGAGATCTGAATTACACAAAAAAGCCAAAAAGTTAGGCTAAAATAATAGTATTATTGAGATTTACATATGGTATGCAGCATATCTTCATTGATAAGCATATTGTTCTACACTGATTTGTTTAGAGACTAGGGTTTCCCCTATCTCATTTCCAGGCCGGGAGGGCAGCAGCTTGATCCCACTACTGACTGTCATGGAACCTCTGACCTTCCCCTTTTCTAATCTGAACCAGGTTACCTTTCAATACCCTCTCCTTCCTCCCCTATCCACTGGGGCTCACTACCTTGGTGCCAGTCTTAGCATGGGCACCCAATTGGCTTGGTCCAATGCAGTTCAAAACACTGGAGCTCAAGGGATCTGCCAGCTTCAGCCTTCCCAGAAGCAGGGACTGACTATGGGCACGCACCAGCATTCCTAGACATACCATACATTGTGAGTCACCCAAAAGAAGACACCACAGAAGTGAAGAACTGAGACAACAAACAATTCACTTTGAGCTCAAGGAATTTCTTTTATTATATTCATATGTAAGAGAGCAGCAACATTATTAGAGTAAATAAACCCAAAAGTGTTTAAAAGATTCCTGTTTAAAGGAAGGATTACAGAACTATAACACTATACCAGAACACACAAAAATAAGTTTTTAATGTTTAATTTAGACTAAAATGTATTTTAAAATATTGAATTCAATGCAAATTGAAGGTGGCCTCTAATTTATGATTCAGACTATTCTTTGTAGTTTATCGATGAACTGTCTACTCTTCTCACCAATGGCAGCTTTTCCACAACACATGGACTTTAAGAAATCATTCTGAAATTCCTTTCTCTCCATTCTTTGTGGGGTGACTTCCATTTTAGTTAAAGAGCAATCCGAGAACAATAATGTTTTAACTTGCAAGGAAGTACACCCTTATTGAGCTGGTAGAACTCCACTAATTGTATGAGATCAGTAAATCTTGTGTGACCATCATCCAGGGTATGAAACATTTCACCATCATCTTCTAGCTGCAAGGGGAATGATAAACTGCTTAATGGTGGCAAAAATGAAAATGCCTTAGATCAACAACAGCCTACAGAATATCATATTTTCCCCGTGAGAGTTTAGGGATCAAACTTATGTCCCAACAGAAACAAAGCAACTTTGGAAGTAGGACTGAGGAAGCTTTCACTTCCAAGCTTTAATATCATTGACATTCTCAAGTTAAGTATTTCTACTGTACAATGTAGCTCTGTGCCCCCTCCCCAATATCCGCTAATTAACCTGATAAGATTTACCTAGATGTTTTAACAATACAGTAGGCCTTATTACTTTGCCAAAGTAAACAAAAGGTTGTGATTGACTATATCTTATAGAAAACACATTTCCAAGCTTAAGTTTTCTCTCTTAACTTCCAATCTCTTAACTTCTTAACTGTGTATTCAATATAAATATTCAGACAGCTTGCATCATTAAATTAATTTTAAAGCAATGAAATATCAACCTAATAGAACATCTTTTTTTTTTTTTTTGCATTAAACTCATTGGCATTAACGAGTTGACCCTTGCAGGAAAATACTGATCATATAATCAAGAAAGTAGGAAAGCACAATTTATATGCTCCAGATCATTCTGAAAAGAGGAAAATTCAGGAGTAATGCAAGCATCAAGCTATAATGCCTACTAAATGGAGAAATATTCTTCCTGGAAGTTTTAATGTCCTTGATTGAGAGCAGAGGGCATTTCTAACCCCCTCCCTGGAGCTCACCCCTATCACTGGACAGCATCCTGCCCTCAAAGATGAAGAAAAAAATAAGTTGTCTTATAAGTAGTAGTAGCAGCAGTAGCAGTAGTAGTAGTAGCAGTAGTAGTAGTAGTAGTAGTAGTCTGACATAGGAAATTAAAATCATGTGGGTACAGGAAGTACCTAAGTCATTATTTCATATACCTGTATAATAGTTCATAGGACATTAAATACAAAAAAAAAGGGCATTGACTTGTTTCTGTATGAACCACCACCCCAAAAAAAGATGAAAATAAGATTATAACAACAATAATAAACGCAAAGAAATAATGAAGACTGTGCTACATCCTCACTGTCTGTAAAAATTTAGTATCTATCAAATATTTAGCATGACATGACCTGATAGCTAGAATTATACATCATAAATGCATGATCTTCCTTGAAGTGATATAGGACAAGTCCCCACATTAGAAATATAAGTATCATGTAGAATTCAACCAATAAATTGTAATGGAACCAGACCGTTATCACAGACTGACCATTTCCCACAACTCCCTGGGCAGAACACTGATTCATAAAAAGTTAAAAAAAACCAAAAAACATTTTACTCATAATCCAAGCTACACCAAATGAAAAGCTTTCAAAGTATAGAGACTTGGCTGAGGAGCTGAAGATCAAGTGAGAACAATTAGAAGTAATATGTCATTCCTAATATTCTGCTTGCTACTGCATTAGTACCAAAGATGCTCTGAGCAAGCCTACAGAGGATGAGTTTACATCCCAAGTCTTTTATTCAACTATAAAAATCAAGGTTTTTAAAATCTACCTGAGTAAGTCCATGGCACTTTGATTATAAAGAAGTAATAAACAGCAGGATAGCAACTTGCCTGAGGATTATTTCTGTCTGAATCCAATTAAAAAAAGATGAGAATGATAAAATCATCATCAGAGTAATAATACTTTATTCAAAAAAAGTAGTTTAGAAATTGACCTGAACTCAGAAAACGTATGTGTCAACACTTCCCCAAAGTTTCACAATATTTCCTTGCAAAGTCGTAAAGCAGGGCATTTAGGAGAACTGAAGAGACCAAAGCTGTAACATGATGGTTTCACAGAGAAAGAACTAAATAAAATTCAGAAGAAGGTTTCTTTACAGTGGTCTTGTAACAATAGGTGGCAGGGAATACAACATTGCTAAATCAATTTTATACAACTGAAGGAAATTCAATTTTTCAAACATTTTCTCTATTCTTTCTATTAATTTAGACCTAAAAGATATTTGTGCCAAGCATAGCTCCAGTCAAAACAAAAGCTTCCAAACAACATTTAAGAAAAGAATAAAAAGTTTCCCAAAATTGTACTCATCAAGACAATTCCCAATACAAGCATGTTCAATGATAAATTACTTACTGGTATAATTTGAAAATGCTTTATCTTTTGTCCATGGCTCAATGAAAGTACAAAGGTTTTGGGGTTGCTTTGGCTGTCCCGTACCAAGAAAACTCTAAGGAGAAACAAGGCAGTTCAGTTTGTTTCTGAGGAATGCACGGATTTCAAAGAAATAGAAAGCCAAACACAGAAGTAAATGTGTCAATTATGTCTGAATGCCATAAACCCATTCATATATACCTTTCATGTGAATTTCAATGGTATGAAATAAACTCAGCAAGGTCAAAAAATTTTGTGCAATTTTTCTCAGAAAATCTGAACTACAACTGTTATCTAAGTTAAAGTATGTCATTTTTAACAGGTTTCTGATAGCTTTCCCCCAAAAAATAAAATGCTTTGTAAGCATCAACAACTCGGAACATGTGGTTTTCATATGGGGAAATTGAGTATTGACATCTAAGTGTGAATACTCTATTAACTAGAAGAAATGACATCGGTATCCTATTACTTTACCTCACAAGTCATGTCAAGCCCTGAAAAAGAAAAATTCCCACCTGGAAAGAGACCTTAACTACTTTTTTAACTTTGGTATGCTGTTTGCTATCTCTTTCTTCTTCTTCTTCTTTTTTTTTTAGTCTGGTTGCTAATGTTACAGTCATATTATACAACGAGAACAGTAAGAAAGGAATAGACTAAATGCCATAATCCTGAAATGATTTTTGTTTAGATAAGAGCAGAAAATTTAATAAAATGGGAAAAATACAAGGACCATAAAGACAATAAAAAAATTGTAAAACAAAACAAAATTTAACCTTGAAAAATGAGGCAAAAAAAATCTGATATATCAAGCTACAAAACAAGACATGGCCTAATGGCCTGAAATAAAAATGCTGCCAGACATGGATCCTTATTTACTGGCAAGACAGCATAAAACCAGTGTTGTATTAATTGCTGGCAAACAGCCTGTTTTCAACAAACCCCACTGGCAAATCCTATGCTACTTCCCCTGGTGCTTAGTTAGAAACGCATTTAGATTTGAGCTTCCAATGATAGTCCCATTTCATTTGTGTTAGTGTGAAATTCCAGACATTACATCATTGGCAGATAGGACAAAAGTGAATTTTATTGGTAAATCAAGTTGTAAATCTTTTTTCTCTCCTAAGTAGAACACCACCACCACCTAGTGGACCAATTATTTCCAGGGTGATGCAGAAGAAAGCTAACTAAACAAAGGTATATTCTTTGTATATTCTTGTAATATCAAAATTACATAAGACTGAATGTGGATGAAAAATAATGTAGAAATCCTCCCCAAATCACCTTAGCCTTTTTTAAAAGTCCTATGTGCTTTCTGCTCCCATTATGTTGTAACTCAGGTGGTCTTTCAAATATAATATTAATCTCTAATAAAGTGTCATACCTCACATCTACATAATGCTATGAGGTTAACAAAGCAATTTCCTCATGATAACCCTATGAGGTTGCCTAGCACATAGTAGGTACCCAGTAAGTGCTTGTTGATCAATTGCTATTTGCAAATCTTAAATATTTTTTCCATTTTCAAAAAAAATACTTGTGATAATCCCGTGCATAAAAATCTTATTTACCTAGATATCAGTATGAAGTCCCCACAAAATCTTCTATTGAAATTAAAATGTCTTTGACATTAAATCACCAGTATCACTTGGCTAAAAATGTTTTCTTATTAATTATATGCAAGCTATAATAAGTCCTCATTTAGAATAACTAAAAGTATAAAACAGAACTAATGAAAATTTCTGAAATATTCAATATTTTAAGAAAAATAGAGTTCTCTAACAAGATTTAAGCAGTTTGAGAACAGGAGACCAGCTATGTTATATTTTGCATCCCCCACAATATCTAACACAACATCCATCTAGTGTTTTCCAATTGTCAATCTTTTTATTAGTTTGCAAAACTCTTACTGTGACATTCTTATTCTTGAAACCTATATTTCTTTCTTTCTTTCTTTTTTTTTTTTTGGCTAGGCAATGGGGTTAAGTGACTTGCCCAAGGTCACACAGCTACTAAGTGTCAAGTGTCTGAGGCAGATTTGAACTCAGGTCCTCCTGACTCTAGGGTTGGTGCTCTATCCACTGTGCCATCTAGCTTCCCCAAAACCTACATTTCAATATTTAAGTTTTTAAAATTTATTCTCCGGCTTACTTGTTCCTAGACTTTTCCTTCTGAGCTGTCACCTAGAAGTGAGTGTTCCACACGGTTGTTCCCTAAACCCTCTCCCTTCTCCCCCTCTCTCTCAGTAACCTTATTAGCTTCTGTGGATTTAGTCGTCAATGCAGATAACTCCCAGACTTATTTAAGCTTCAATGCTGCATCATCAACAGTATATTGGATATTTCAAATGGAATATTCTGGGGAAATATTAAACTCAACGTGTCCAAAAACGAATGTATTATCTTGCCCCCTAAATCTCCTCTCTTCCAATTCACCTTCTCTCAAAGGCATCACCATCATTCCAGGGTCTCGGGCTTGTAACTTCAGGCTTGTATCCTCAATTCCTCCCTCTGTTTCACCTGGAATATCCAATCAGTTGCCAGATCTTATTGTTTCTACCTTCACAACATTTCTTGCTTCCGATTCTTTTCCGTGAGCATAGCTGCCACCTTAGTTCAGCTCTCACCACTCTTTGCCTACATTATTTTAACAGTCTCCTAATTGGTCTCTCTGCCTCAAATTTTCCCCATTCCAGTCCATCCCACAAGGCTGCCAAAATAATTTTCCTTAAGCAAAGATCTAACCATTTGTGATTCTTACACAACCAATTCATTTGTCTTCCTCTTGCTTACAGAATAAAATGTAAACTTTTCAAATCAGCTTTTAAAGAGCTACATAAACTGGGCCTACCAAACCTATCTTTCTAACCTTAATGGACCTGAGTCCCCATCTTAAACTTTGTCATCCAGCCCAACTGGACTTCTCTCTGTTCCTCACACACAACATTCAATCTCTCATCTCCATGCTTTTGCATTGGACATTCTCCATGCCTAGCTCAGAGTGCACCACCTCCTTACATCTGCTTCACTGTCTCTCTTCTTAAGAAACTGCTCAAGTATCATCTTCTGAATGAAGCCTTGCCTTCTTCCCCCACCACACACCATATCTTATCTCCCTCTCTCTATATAGACACATGAATGGATATGTATATATATGCAAAAATATTTGCTTTATAAATAGGCTATACATATTTTTATATGTACTTAGGCCCCAAGTTGGAGTTGTTTCATTCTTTGGCCCCCAGGGCCTCCAGCGTGCCAGGTCCATAATAGGTGCTTCAATAAACGCTTGCTTTATTGATTTGATAGTAGGAAATCTTACCAGTCTGCAGACAGTTTTGGTTGGTAAACCCAGTAAATTTTATATATTCTTCAATTGTTTGGCTACCTTTATTAGAGTATTGAAATTAAGATGAAAGGGATGAGTAAGAAAACAATTGGCCTTGTGGGAATTCAGATAACACTACAACATCATCATAACTAAATAAGTTCTATGTTTAAACTCCCATAAAGAAACTGCATCATAGCAAGGCAAACTTTGTCCATAAAGCACCTTTTGGTACTTTAGAACATAAAACTTTTTTTTTAATTTGACTAAAGGAAAAGTAAAGGTCTTATAACGTTCTTTGAGTTTATTTGGTTCATCAAAGCACCAAAGAAAATGTAGGAGTATAACTGTAAACACCGACCCCAAATCACACATAACATTTCTCATAATCTCTACCAATTAGGAATATAAATGAGCTAGAGAAGATTAAAAGCTAACAGTAAAAATAAGCAGAAACAGAATAAAAAAATAAAAAGGATACAATCAAAAATAAAAAACTAAGGGGGCAGCTAGGTGGTGCAGTGGATAGAGGTCCGGCCCTGGATTCAGGAGGACTTGAGTTCAAATCTGGCTTCAGACACATAACACTTACTAGCTGTGTGACCCTGGGCAAGTCACTTAACCCCATTGCCTAGTAAATAAAAAAAAATAAAATAAAAATAGAAAATAAGCAGAAACAGGAAAGAGCATTTAATTTGTTCAGACAAGTTCCTCCTCTTCCCTTTCCCTCTCTGGGCAGGTGTTGGAATAGGGGACAATTATTCCTTTTTCCAAAAAAGCTACCTGAAAACTGTAATTAGCAGGAATAAATCTGAGGAGGAAATATGTACACACTAACATAGCAAATTAGTTGTATGCTTAAATCAAAACATGTTTGTTGTTGTCATTTTTTCCCCAGCCACCACTGCCAACTTAACTAGCACCCAAAAAGCAAGCTCTATTTTTTTCAATAATTAACATCTGTGACCAACAATAAACTTTTTCAAATTGGCACAGAGTGGGAAATGTAAGTGATGGCTGAGGAATCAGCTGAGGAGAATCTTCCTCATTTATTTTTGCCTTCATCTGTTTTGTTCCTTGTGACAATGAAAAGGCCAGTTACAGACTGTGGGAGGAGCAATGAACAGCCACACTCAATCCAGGGATGCGCTCTTGTCTCTGCACGTCCTAATGAAAGCAGCTGTTAGATGCCATACTTACCCATCTACAGGTCCTTGCTGAATGATCAATCGCTGGGCTTCATCCCTGGAAATTCTGTGATGAAACCATGGCTGTGCCCTATGAATGGCTGAAGAAATCACATGAATACATTTCAAGATTTCTCTCTTAAAATTACACAGTCAAGTGAAATTCCATCCTGAAAGTCAGCTGCACATTTACACAGGAATTCTATTTCCAGTAACATAAACAAACATACCTAAGTTTGTTGAGGAACTTTGAGAAGCAGTGGGACTACCATGTGTGTTCAGTCGCAAACATCCTTTTTTCTGAGCAGGGGAGAAGAAAAAACACTTCTCAGATTTTGAATGAAAAAAACAAAAATTATAAATAATCTTTTGAAAAAAAGTTTTTTTTTATTATACCCTCCATGCTAATCCTTCTTCAACAGCAACTGATAGGGCTTCGGTGGGATTTTCTATAACTCTGCTTTTATGGCCCGAGAAGTCCATTGCAACAAGAGAATTCTCTGAGATGCTTCTCTGGAAAAAAAATCACTTTTAAATATTAAAATATTTTTGGTAGGTTGTCCTCCAATATTGTTCTTCATTCTAGAGCATGATGATCCACTGAGAAATGGAGGCTGACAAACAAACTGAACCAAAAAACCTTCCAGGAAATTAAGAAGTTAAAACACCTTTTTAAAAAAATTATGAAGGTCCTAAAACAGGAAAAAAAAATATTTGTTTTAATTATTTTGAGTTGTTAGTACAGTAAGATTAACTTGATAGACTACAAAGATTAAAAACATACAATACAGAGTGAATCCATCTGTCAAATGAAGCAATACGACATGCTCACATTCTCATTCAGGGTTGAAAAAATATAACTCAGAAAGGAATAATCAATTCAATGGCCTTCAATAATCTTTTTAGTTCTTGCTGGCATGCGACAACATCTCTCTCATCCCTCTATTCGGCATTAAGAGACCCGTCTTGAGAGCTCTTACATTTATTGTTTTACCTCACAAAGTGAAAATTGTGTTTTATTAAGTTACAAGATGATTTACAGGACAATTTTAAATTTTCAGTTAAGATAGAAATCATAGAATAATTTTAAATTTTCAGTTAAGATAGAAATCATCTTGTAACTTTATAAAACACAATATTCACTTTGTGAGGTAGGACAAATAAACGTAAGAGCTATAAAGACAGGTCTCTTAATGCCGAACAGAGGGATGACAGAGACGTTGTCTCATGCCAGCAAGAACTAAAAAGACTTAAATGCCATCTTGATTTAATCCAACAACTTTCTTCATTTCTTTCCTTCAAAGTTGTGAACAGAAAACCCTGATTCCTAATTATTGATTTTTTGTAGTAGTAGTAAAGATTTGCCTCTCCAACAAACATTGAGTCAGTTGCCCGTAAACTAGCAAATTGTAAAAAAAAAAAAAAACCACATATATATAAAACACACATACATACACAAAAAACAAAACAAAACAAAACAAAACAAAAAAAAAAAAAACCCAGTCAGAAGAATCTCAATTCAGGCTACAATAGAGTTGAACACACTTTCTTTCCCTTCCCCACTCCCATCCCCCAAATAATGATAACCTTTCAAAAGGACATAAATAGAGTCTTTAACAGTTATTTCCCATCAGATAATAAGGAAGGGATAAAAATGAAGATCTAATGGTAAATTAGTTTCCTACCTGCATCTGGGGGACCCCATGGCTCAGTAAGGACTTTTTAGATCTGTCTTCTTGGATCCAGCCAGTCCTTGTTTCATGTAACAGATCACAGTCAAGTATGTGCTTGAATAAAAACACTTCCCACAAAAAACTTAGGACTTACTTTGTGCCACGTTATACTTCAGAGTCTATTATCATATTGTGATGTTCTCTTCAAACCAGGAGCACTCAACCATCTTTTTTATGGTTCATCTCTATTTCTAGAGATCCTGCATGCAATCTTCCATTTGTTAGAGGCTCCTTTATGTTATAACTGACAGCTGCTCTTTCCAGACAGATGCTGTCTCTGTAATCTTTATTTGCTGTCACACCTTAGTTTGCCCTTTTCACCCCGTGATCTTATGGGCACGGCTGTCGACCAGCCAGATGTACTTCTGCTTTGCTGACATTAATAAAACGCCTCCACCTGCCTCAAACACGTAGGTCTGAACTGAGTATCTAGCCTCCATCATAATGATAGCTTTATCCTTAGAATATCTCTATCTTCACATGCCAAGATGGGCTATGTAATCTAAAGTTCCTGATAACACAGAAATACTGTTAGGAAAGAAAAATAAACACAACCAGGTGTTTCTTTTTTTTTTTTTCTTGAGTACATAAGTCAGCAATGAAAAAAACAAGATCCTATACCTCTAATTACTTGACTGTAAGTGGGGTAAGCTAATGCAAAAATACAGAAAGTATCCATTTTCCTTGACATAATGGAAATAAAAAGTATGAAGAATTTACCTCTATTTAACACAGAAATGTGAGAAATAATCTGACTTAAACAGCTGCTTTCAGTTTGTTCACTCTACCATACAGGAAAGCAACAGTAAAAGCATTATTAGAATCTGTGAAGTTGAGTTAAAAATCTCCTTTTTCTAGCACTTTCTTCTGTGGAATGGGCAAAGTGCTCCCTGTAAAGAAGTCTGAATGTTTCTGAAGGCTCTGTTGCTTCACCAGGACCCATCCAGTTAATATCCTAAGCCATCAAGATATGATTTTTGCATTGGAATATCAACAAGATTTGGATTCCCTTTGTCTTTTCTAGGGCTAGTAAAGGACAAAAATATCATTATCACCTATTCCTACTTTTACCCCCATTGTGATACAGCTGGCTAGGGTCAGCAGGTCAGTTGACAGCAAGAAAAAGAAATTCTCCATGTTCATTCCTCAGCTGACATCCTCACATATATTTTATAAGCTATTAGTATGTCTCATTAGGAAGTTAGGTGGCATGATGGATAAAGTGAAGAATCTGAAGTCAGAAAGAACCAAGTTCAAATCCTGCCTCAGTCACTTACAAGCTTTGTGACTCTGGACAAGTTATTTAAAGTCTCTGTGCCTCATTTTCTTCATCTGTAAAATGGGGATTTAAATTATGTGTGATAATTATATATATTATCATTGTACTTACCTTCCAGGGTTGTTGTGAGGATAAAAATCAATATTTGTAAAGCACCTTGCAAACTTTAAAGAGCTATATAATGCTAGCTTTCATTACTATTGGTTTTGTTGTTGTCGTTGTTAAAAAAAAAAGTCCCTAAAGAGCATTCTGAAAGGGAATGAACAAAGCATTCATTTAAATATGCCACTGGGATTCTGTGTGAGCAAAAGGAATCACAGACTGTACCTTGATGTAAAAAGTTATTCTTAAGCACAGTTTTATAATAGTGTAGGATAGCAGTGTTACAGCTAAAATCAGGCCATCACAAATGTCTCTATATTTATCAAAACAGTGGCCCACCAACAGTGTATGCACAAATAAATGCCCTTGTTGTATTTATGATGAATCAGGGAGGCAGGGCCCAAACAGTTCATATACTACTCTTACATTTTCATTCAACTTTTTTTTTCTAGAAGGCAATCTGCATTTTAAGGGATCTGCAATCACTGTTTTCATAAATATATTATAGTGTTAGGTAATGAGCCAGGCACTAATAAATGAAAGGACTAGTTGTATAAAGGACCAATCTCATACCAGTCTTTTCACTCACAAATAAACCCATAAGATGGTCATCAGTTGTACTACCTCCAAATAAGAAGGGTGATAATATCATACCTGCATACTGTTACTGTTGCAAAAGTAATGTGGACAGATGGATAGTAGCATATTTTCTAAAAATTAAACAACTGCCCACCAAAAAAAAAATATCAAGGTGCTATCACATTGCTTGAACATCATAACTTTAGTTCTTTGAAAGAATGTGCAGCTACCAAAGGGAGATTTGGGGTTTTCTTTGTGTGTGTGTGTGTGTGTGTGTCTCTCTCTCTCTCTCACACACACACACACACACACACACACACACACATATCCACCTTTTAGGATTAGGTCTGCAATAACTACTGCTCTCAATGGATATGAGGTCTTATTGATATGAGTATTTCTTGCCAATAATACAGATTAATTCACTGATGCCTTCCCCACCCTATGCGACCACCATCCAGACCCATGCCCAAGTTCACCAAAGGGGTCTAGCCAACCTGATTCTTTACATTCTCTGGATATCACAAGAATATAATAACCCTCAAACTCACAAATCTATTTTTCATCATGCATAAATTCAAACACAAGGATAAGTGGTCAAGTTATTTGCAAAATGTTCATTTTAAAGTGGTCGCTTCTAGAAAATTCAACAAGATACGTAGCTCTTAGTTTGTGTTTTGTAGGCAGAACAATACAATGATGGAAACTCACTCTTCTGTAACTTAAAGTAACATCACTAACTGCTTTGGAGCTCTTTTCCTATATAGTCTATCAAGCTTTCTAATCAACTTTATTTCATGCCTCATTCCTAGAACTGAGCATTTCATCTGCTACATTACACATAGGGTAAATGTTCTTTCCTTGGGCACAGTCATGAAGAGAATATTGTAAATCCAAATGCAAATGCAGGTTTCAAAAATACAAGTTAACTTACTTGTAACACTAACATGGAAATCTAAATTCTAAATATATTTATCACTACGGGCTACCACCAAAATAGCACGCACATATTTAAAGTACAGGAATGTGTTTCTTGGATTCATATACAGGCAATTAATGTCAGATCTTGAGGAAAGGAAATCGTATTTGTATCGTAACACATTTTAAAGGACCCCACACTATAACGCATGCATCAACAAATGTCCTGGTTACATAAATGACGAATTAGGTAGAGAGGGCCCTATAGTTCATATACTACTCTGAAAGTACCATTTAATTTTTTGGTGGAAGGAGATCTGCACTTAAAGAGATCTGCATTCATTGTTTTTTAGTATATTATAGTGTTAGGTCATGAGCCAGGACCTGAATGTCATGTCTTACTCTTCTCAGGTCCAAACTACTGGCTAAATTTAAAAAAAAAAAAAAAAAACTTTCACAATCGCACAAATTCACTCATGAAATTAATATGATCAGCATTGTTGAGGAAAAGGTTCTACAATTTCTCTACTGAAAGCTTATTCCTAAAATAACTTTTCTTAAATACTGCAAGTCAATAATCATGTGACTCAAAAATATAGCTATAGTTTCAACAAAATTGTAAAGAACAAATGAGGCTTACCTGGAAGGGGATATATCAAGAAACACCATGTAAAAAATAAAACTATAAAAGTAAATTGCAAAGCATGACAAAACTCAAATGAAACAGATAATGAAGGGACTTTCATCACTTAAGATTTCTGTGATAAGTCTCGAGAAAAGAAAACAAAACATGCCAGTTCATTATTTCTTCCTAGTGAAGCAATAGAACTTAAAATACCAAACTGAACAACATCACATTAGAGTAAGGCACAAATTTAGTACACTGGTCCGGTACTTACCATAGGTGACATATTCTGAGAGCTGCAACCACTTCTCCCTGGACATGGATGCATATAATTCTGGTGCAGCTGCATCCCATACTGCAAAGAGAAATGAATATTTTCATCATTTTCATCTCATGAATTATAGACAAGAAACACCTCTCTCGTGTAAAAATAAGCTCCTCATATTTTACTTCTGACTTTATCACAACACTTTGGAATTGTACATGTTTAACTTAAAATAACTTCTGAAAATATTTTTTGAAAAATCAGAGGCTTTGCTAAAGAAAAAATTGGAAGTGAGTTGTGGTTTTAAAAAACAACACCTTAGAATGCTACCTAAAGGAAGTCATCATTTCTCTCCAAAATTCAAGTTTCCAAAGATCACAGAATATTATTTCTACATTACTTATTTAAACATCAAATAGGCTGCTATTTAGTGAAGTATGCTGCTTGCCAGTTGGGAAATTCATTTAAACAAATTACTGGATAACCAATTTTTTGCTTTAAATTTGCTACACAATTTGGTCTCATATTTCTTAAGATTCCACGTTTACAAAAAGCACAAAGGGAAGATTCTATTTTCCTAACAATGTATACTGTGAAGTAGTTGCATACAGTTGAATTTGCGCTAAAGTTATAATTATGTAAAAATATGGTAACTGGTTCCAGTCCAATGGAAATATGCAATGCAAATTCAAATAATGTGACCACTTCACAGGATTCATTATTTGTGCTAACTGGGACCTAGCTGTACCTTTAAAAGGTTCCTTCAGACAGAGAACCATAGGATTTTGAACAGTGAATCAAGGACCCTACTAGGTTATTTCACAAATTCTCACATAACTAAGACCCCTGAGGTCATGTCTTTATGTGTCATAGGCAATGTTTTAGAAAAATCAAATACTTTGGTGATGTCAACAATATTAAGTCACTTCTTTCATTTTTTGCTTAAATTTCCAAGAATTCAAAGTAGTAGGGAAGAGGCAAAAGCATATCACATTCAAGCATGAGAACAGCAACAACAACAAAAAAAAAATCCACAGGAACTACACGGCTGTGAGCAAAAAATGCTTACTTTCAACATTAATCTTTACATTATCCATGTTGTGGGTGTTAATACAGCAGACAGTCAAGCAGCAAAAAAACACTTAGAAAGTTAATCTAGAGCAGAAGTTCTTAACCTGGGGTCTGGGAACTTTACATATGTATTATATGCATATGCATGTATGTATGTGCCTATACTCACATATGTACATGTGTATATATGTATATGCATCTGTACTTATGTTTTCTATATTTAAATAACTGTTTTTCAACATAATTGGTTTCCTCTGTAATACTGTACACTTTATTTTGTGCATTTAAAACATTATTCTGAGAAGGGATTCACAGGTTTCACCAGAACACCAAAGGGATCCATGACACACACCAAAAAAAGAGTTAAAAATCCCTGATATAATTGCTATTAGGGTTTGAGATATGTGAAAAATGCAACTACTTTCCATAAACTTGTCCTTGAGTAGTTATCTCCTGAAATTGGGAGCTATTCCTTTAGGCTTATTCTACTTTGTACATGAAACATCAATGGGACAAGATTTCTCTCTGGCTCCCTGATAAATTCTCTTCTTTGCAAAGAGCTTAAAAGAGATATTTAGGGGAGGCAGTGGAATTAAAATCTCACCCTCAGGATATATGTTATTGGAAATATTGGAAACCATTCAGACAAACTAGTTCCCTCCTAGAGATATTTTTTTAAACTTCAAAAATAGGAAAATGACTTATGTTGCATGCACCAACTTATTTTTAAGTCAAAGAAAAAAAGATAATTGTTTAAGGTTTTGTTTTTACCACATATAGATATATAGCTTTACTTCTAAATCTGCATTAAATTCCTTTTTCAATCTTAAGTTCTCTGATTTTTTTTTCAATTATTATTTGAAGAAAAATGATCATTGGAGCTCATCTTTGTGGGTATTTTCTCCAAAGGTGCAGATGTCAACCTATTCACACCTTCTCATTCATGAAGACTCTTATACCTGGATTGAGGATCTACCCAATGCCCTGGAGGGTATCCTTTGGTCAGGGACCCTGCGGCCTCAACATCACATGAGACCCTCTAGGTCCTCAAGTGTGGCCCTTTGACTCAATCCAAATTTCACAGAAGAAATCCCCTTAATAAAAGGATTTGCTCTGTAACACTTGGATTCAGTCAAAAGGCTTCACCAAAGGCTAGAAGGCCATGTGTGACCTTGGAGCCGCAGGTTCTCCTCCCCTGCTAGGTCTTTTAATGTTTTGTGGACATCAATACAATAATGGACAGGCTAATTTACTGTCCATGTTATCCCTTGCTCTCAGTGCATGACCAACCCATTTCCTTTAGTATTCATGCATTTCTCCGGATGATGTTTTAATTGGGAAATTGGGCAGGCAGAGTTAAAATGGTTCCTTGTGCATAGCTCAAAAAAATTATTCTTTGTATTAGGATACAGTCTACTTATATTCATTATATGTCTTTTTGTCACCATTTAGGTCATCTGTAACTTGTATTCTAAGATTGTAACACTTCAATATTTGCATTCCACATAATATTGCTAGAATACTCATTTTTAAATATGTTTTGAATATGTGTTTTCATGACATTAGAATCACTGAAAGTGCAACAAAATTTTCCAAATTTAATTCAATCCACTAGCCTTTTTCTATTCAATTTTAGGGCTTAGATGATTGTCCATTTGTAGTGACTGTCTAAACAGGCAGACCATCAAAAAGTATGTCATGTCTGGATAATACGCATTTGTCATTAACCTTTCTGTGTAGATTGCTGAGTAATAGCCCAGAAAGGTTCTCTCCATGATTACATTAAGATGGTAGAAGATTTCTTGGTAGCACACCTCGGAGATAATGGTTCCGTGATGCTCTGCTTATCAGTATCAGTTAGGAATAAAACGAGGAGACATAGGTGCTCTCCAGGGTAACACTGGATATCCTGCACAAAATCTAAATGGAAGAGAAATTCCCCATAGATTGTATCTATTTGGTCCAATTTAGAAATGATACCTGCTTGGCCCAGAATGCTACAGGAATGTTTCAGTGAGTATCATAACTACTCCCACCACAATGGTTCAGTTTACAGTCACCTCACAATCATGGCTGCCCTCCACTGGACATGATGTAGATTGTCAATGTCTTCCCTAAATGGTGGCACCCAGATTGGAGCACTATGTAACCATCATTTCCCTTTTTCAGGACAATATGTTTCTATTATTACAGCCAAAACTGGCCTTAGTTTGTTGTTGTCGCTGTTTTTTGGCTTTCACATCAGCTGACTCATCTTGAGCCTACAGTTAAGGCTCCTAGATCTTTTTCACATGAACTGCTGCTTAACCATGCATTCTCTATCCATTATTTTTTTTCCAGTTTTTTTAACTTAAATATAAAACTTTAATGTTATTAAATATCACCTGATTATTTGAAATTAATTCCCTTTAGTGGTTGTATATATTCAAATTTGTACTATTAGAAGTCATAATTATGTAAAATATGGTAAGTTATTCCAGCCCAATGAAAATAGGCAGCGTGAATTCTAATAATGCGATATCAGGTGGCTTTATTAATTGCAATAATCAGGACTGAACTATATAATATACTCCCCCTACCAATGCATATCTGCACCTATTTTGCAATGTTTAGAATTTAGTGATGCCAGGGGCACAGAGGGGTTAAGTGACTTGTCAGGGTCACAGAGCTAGAGGTGTTAATAAGAAGTTTTTTTCAAAAAATCAACTAGAAGAATGCAAAAGAAGCACAGATCCTTAACTGTCCATACACTGAATTCCCCTAAGCATTCACGGTATCCCAAATAGCTTTACAAGGAAAAAATTCAGGATATCCAATGTGACCCTGGAAAGCACCTATGCCTCCTCGTTTTATTCCTAACTTGATACTGATAAGCAGAGCATCATGGAACTGATATATCTGAGGTGTGCTACCAAGAAATCCACCATCTTAATATAATCATGGAGAGAACCTTTCTGGGCTATTACTCAGCAATCTACACAGAAAAAGAAAAATCAAGTTAATGACAAATGCATATTATCCAGACTTGACATACTTTTTGATGGTTTGCCTGTTTAGACAGGCACTACAAATGGACAATCATCTAAGCCCTAAAACTGAATAGAAAGAGGCTAGTGGATTGAATTAAATTTGGAAAATTTTGTTGCACTTTCACCGATTCTAATGTCATGAAAACACATATTCAAAACATATTTAAAAATTAGTGTTCTAGTAATATTATGTGGAATGCAAATCCTGGAGTGTTACAATCTTAGAATACAAACTATAGATGACCTAAACGGTGACAAAAAGACATATAATGTAATACATTTTATATATATAGTATTTTATATGTATATAGTACAGTATTTATATTTATATATGGTATTTATATTTATATATAGTATATATAATACTTATATAGTATATGTAGTATTTATGTTTATATAGAGTATATACATAGTATAGTATTTTATATATATACTATATATATAGTGTATTTGTACCTAAAGACAATACCAAATAATCACAAAACCCCTTTCAGATTTATTAGTCCACCTTATAAATTAAATTGGCAGGCCAATTATTGCTTTACTATAAATATATAAATAGAAATGTCAAACACACATACTACTAATGTTAAGTCTTCACCAATAAAGCCCGGATGAGTTCAAATTACTAGACTGGGTTTAGAACAAAGCAATATCAACAGAAGAAGTCTATGCATGTAGTACAGAAATTAAGTATTCAGAAAAACACTGGATTTTTTTTTTTTTTAGGCAATTGGGGTTAAGTGAGTTGCCCAGGGTCACATAGCTAATAAGGGTCAAGTGTTTGGTCTAAGGGTGGACTGGAACTCAGGTCCTCCTGACTTCAGGGCCGGTGCTCTATCCACTGTGCCACCTAGCTGCCCCAAAACACTGGATTTTTAAGAACAAAAACTGCAACAAACTAATTTAGAGTGACAAATTACATTTTTGCTTATGTAAATATCATATCTCAAGGGCAATAGTACTAATAGGATGGTGCCATGTTGTACCTTGTAGAAAAAGCACTAAATTTTATGACAGAGAATCTGGGTTCAAGTCCTGCTCTGTCACTACCTAACTGACCTTGGGCAAGTGATTTCACCTCCTTTGTCCTCAGTTTCCTCATCTGTAAAATGAAGGGAGCTTGAGTAGATGATCTCTACAGTTCTTTCTAGCTTTAAATAATCCATGATCCTAAGAGGTTTTTTGTTGAATATAAATGCTATTCCTCAGATGACCCTTTTTCAATCAATGCAAGACCATACTTATTAAAAGAATCGGTTTTAACTCATCTGTGTCATTGCCTCCAAAGTGAGTATCTTTATAAACAAATGGTGAACAAGCTCAAAGTGGCATCAAATTGACTTGTATCACAGTGATGGTATATCCATCATTTGAATGTTGTTTTTATTTTTTTAATTTATTTTATTTTTAATTTATGGAATAAAACAAGCATTTCTATAACATAGTACAATTAAAAGAAAAGATGGCACATTAAACTGCAAATCTACTATGTACAACTTGCTATTCCTTTCAAATAACAAAATTATCATGTAAATTTCTCTTTTTTTATCCCCCCCCCGAGATGGCTACCATTAGACACATATAGGTATCTATATGTAAAATTATTCTATACATATTCCTAGTTATCAATTCTTTCTCTGGATGCAGACAGCATCTTTCTTCATATGCCCTTTATATTTAATTTTTAGAGCATGCATTCCTTTTTTCTATCCTTCTCCTTGGCGTTTATTCAACTAACAGAACTCTTTATGACCCCCAAAGGAGTGAATACACAAACTAAAAAGTTTAAGAATTGTCTTCCTTGCAGTAGTGATCCTTATGTAGTACAAATACAGATCTAAGAAATTATATTCAGAGCAAAATTTATCAAAGAACTGAAATTTAAAAATTTTAGAGGTGGAAAGGAACTTGGAGCCCGTGATTTTAATCTAATAATTACGAAATCTAAATTGATTACATTATATTATACTAGTTGGGTACATTTTTGTAAATAGATGACCATCATTTGTAACATTTGTAACATTTTTATAAATGCAGAGGAAGCATTGTAAAGACAGATGCTTTAAAGAATATATTTTTATCATGGAAATAATATAATGCCAAAGACTACCATTAATTGTGTTATATTAATTTCAGGCAGAAATAAATCAAATTGGCCTCAAATGTAATAGTCTTACAGAAAAGATAAACCTGAAATCATCAGTTTCTAATTAACATGAAACTTTTAACCTCTATAATTTTTTTAAATGTAAAGATAATCTCTTCCAGAAAGAGAGGGAGGGAGGGAAAGAGGGAGACAGGGAGGGAGAGAGAGACAGAGAGAGACACACACAGAGAGAGACAAGAGACAGAGAGACAGAGACAGAGAGACAGAGACAGAGAGTCAGAGACAGAGAGAGACACAGAGAGACGGAGAGACAGAGAGAGGCAGAGAGACAGAGAGACAGAGACAGGGAGAGAGACAGAGACAGACAGAGAGACAGAGAGAGACAGAGACAGAGAGAGACAGAGAAAGAGAGAGAGCAAGAGAACACTTCTAACTTTTGGTAATATTTAAAGTTAGAAAATTCCTCTACTTTATATGGTAAAAGTATTGGAGAAGAATTAGCTCCACAAGAAAGAGTACCTTAAGCAATCTAATCGCAGTCACCCAGCACGTCCTACTCTGCTCTTCATCTGCATAGAGCAGTTTCAGGTCTCGGCTCCCTCCTGCTTTGTTAGGCTAGAAGGCCACAGCACATTGTTTAGCATTAATGCATATCTTGAAGGTAACACCTGTTGAAATAAAAGCCACTAAAATTCTCCTATTTATGAGAAAGCTGCTTCTTTTTTATCTTAAGAAAAAGTTAAAAGAAACTAAAGCTTACCTAAAAAAGCTGTGGCCTGCTTTTATGCATCTATCAAAATAGTAAGCCTGTACCTTTAAACAGAATCCATAGTTTGCTGGGGCTCCGTGGGTCTTTTTGCCTGCCAATGCCATGTAAATATCACTATTGCCAAATTCACTGAAAAATTGCAAATGCCGTGGTTCCTAAAAGGAAATGAAATGGAAACATGTTACCACCTTCAGCTTACTTGAAACTATTTTTCCTGTGGATGCAGAATTTTAAAATATCAGGATATTAAGGATAAAATCTAACCCTAATGCAACCAAAGCAAAAAACAAAACACAACAAAAACAAAAACAAAACAGATAAAACTAAGTAACTGCATCATTTAATCAAGGTTTATTAAGTAAGATACAAAGACCCTTGGTGGAGGTCCACAGGCAGATTTCGGGGGGAGGCATGAACTTGAATAAGAAAAAAAAATTTTATTTCATAGAACTGGTTTCCTCTGTAATCCTGTACATTTTATTTCATGTATTTAAAAACATTTATCTGAGAACAGGTCTACAAGTTTTCCAGACTTGCCAAAGGGGTTCATGACATACAAAAAAGGCTAAGACCTCATACATTAAATAATCCTTCAACCTCTGCCCTATTCTAAAAGCTTAAGAATATACCAGGGAAAAGATACTTTTCATCATTGATAATCTTTTATTCACACTTGGAAAAAAAAATTTCCCATCATGCAAAATACAGTTTTGCCAGTTTTGTAGTAACTATCTACCTCACATTTTCTGTAAGGAAAAAAGGATAACCAAATTGGACTAATTTTCTTCCTGAATCAGTTTTTCTAACATTTGTTATATAAAAATGGCTACTAAAATGGCTGATGATCTCAAATACCAACCAAATAAACAAACAACTGAAAAACAAAGAAAACAAAAACCTTCACGAGAAGAAACACATAATGGCTCCTGTTTTGTTTTTTTTTTTTTTAGGATTTAACACCTCTCACATTCAGCTACAAAATAACATACTGTACACAACATCAATGTGAGCTATACAGCTATATATTTCTTTACATGGGGAAAGGCATATTGCATTGGTAAATTTAATGAAATTAGTGGATAAGGAACTATGTCTAAATTTGAAGGCAAAGCGGAATCTTGAATGATTTCTTCCCTAGGAAATAAATGATATTTAGGATGTGGTCATGAGAAATTACTAGGTCATTTTGCTTCTCTGATAGGTTAATAACACAGAGTAGCCCTGGAGTTTGGGCTTGAAAGTTTAATCAGGGATGATCCAAATTCACCTACTTCTCAAGAGGCTACACCCAGGGTAATATAAGGAAGAAAACTTGCAGAAAACAGTTATAATAAAACTGGAATAGAAGTCAGGACATAAGAGTTTCAGTCTCAATTTTACCACTGAACTATGTGACCTTTAGCATGTCACTAGTCATCTCTGGCCCTTGATTTCTTAGAAGAGCATTGTTGAATCATAAAATTAGGAGAACCCCAAAGTCCCTCCTAGAACACTTCATACAACATTCCCAATGAGTGGACATCCAACTTTTATTTGATGATCTCTAAAACGAGGAGCAATCTACTACCTTCTGAAGCAACCCAATGTACTTCTGGATAGCTCTTAATTACTAGGAAGTTTTCCTTAATGTTGAGCTTAAATCTGCCCCTGTCTCTGTAACTTCCATCCATTGCTCCAAGTTCTACTCTTTAAGGATAAACAAAATAAACCTAATCTCTATTTTGAGTGATAGTCATTTCAATCTTTGAAGGCAGTTATATTTTCCCTAAATCTTTTCTCCTCAAAATTTCTTCAACTAATTGTGGCATGGCATGATTGCAAGGTCCTTCTCCCTGCTGGTTTTCTTCCTCCAGGCACTATCCAGCATGGAGCTGAACATAATATTCCAGCAGTAATCTGACCAAGATACAGTACAGCAAAGCTAACACTTTTCCTGTTCTAGATGCTGTACTTCTCTTGATTCAGGCTAAGATTATATTTGCTTTTTTTTTTTACTGCCATTACATATTGTCAAAATACTGTAGCAAAGTTTAGTCCACTGAAACCTGCGATCCTTTTTCAAACTAACTGCTGAGTAAGCCACATCCTCCCCATTTTCTATTTTGTGCAGTTGACTTTTTTAATACAAGTATGGGGCTTAATATGTACTCTTATTAATTTTATCTTATTATATTTGGCCCAATGGGGTCTTTCTGGATCCTGTCAACCAACATTACTAGCTATTCCTCCCAATTTAGAACTTTAGAACTAGAAGGGACCCTAGAGGTCAATACATAAGGAATGTATTGAACTTGATAATCTCTAAGGTCTCATCTAACTCAAACATCCTATGACTGAGAGGGTGGAAGCAAGATGGTGGATGAGAGACAGCTACCAGCTGAACTCTCCCAACATTCTCCTCCAAACAACTTCAACTCCTCAAATCACATTTTGGAGCAGAAAAGACAACAAAAGGTCAGAGTGAGACATTTTTGTAGCCTAAAACAACTCAGGAGATCTGCAAGAGAGGTCTGTAACACTGGGGTAGGAATCAACCCAGAGTACAGCTGCAGCACCAACCATGGTCTTGGAGGTGGCTATGACAGCAGCAACAACATGGGAGCTCTCAGCCCAGAGAGATGGGAAGGGTGTTGGCAACTGGTCAATAAGAGATTATGGAAGACCCTTCGCTGGCACTGGATGCAACTGGCACTGATTAACAACTCTACTGCCAATACACAGTTCTCAGTCATAGGTCAAGGGCAGGAAAGAGTGCTTGTGGTCAGTCACAAAGAAGCAAAGGCCCTGGTCTAAGTTCCAAGGCATAGAGAAACACTAGCACTTGTGGCTGCAGAAAAGCAGGGGCCCTGGTGACAGTTCCATGGCCAAGAGGAGTGCTAACACTTGCAGCTGCAGGATAACAGGATAAAGACCAGGAAAGCAGTGACCATACCTCTCCCTGGATCACATCACCTTAAAAGCATCAAAAATTTGAAGTCTCCCAGAGCTAGCTTTGAAAACAGTAGAACAAAAAAGGCTGAAGTTTGGGACGGTGAATCCCACTCCCCACTCCCACCAGGGAAACAGAGCCCAATTTCAAGATAACATTCAAAGACAAGAAATAGACTGGAAAAATGAGCAAACAACAACAAAAAAAAAACTTAACCATAAAAAGCTACTATGGTGGCAGGTAAGAACAATACATAAACTCAGAAGAAGACAATAATGTGAAAACAATTATGAGCAAAGCCTCAAAGAAAAATGCTAAATGGACCTAAACCTGAGGAGAATTCCTTGGGGCATTAAATAAAGAGATAACAAGTGGTAGAGGAAAAATTGGGGAAAGAAATGATAGCAACAGTGAGAAAATTAGGAAAATAGAATTAATAGCTTGGTAAAAGAGGCACAAAAATACTGTAGAAAATAATACCTTAAAAATGGAATTGGCCTAACAGCAAAAGAAACACAAAAATTCACTAACTCCTCCTTAAAAAGCAGAATTGGGTAACAAAAGTGAATGAGTCCATGAGACATCAAGAAACAATAAAACAAAGTCAAAAGAATGGAAAAAAAAGAAGAAAATATGAAATATTTCATTGGAAAAACAACTGACCTGGAAAACAGATCAAGGAGAGATAACTTAAGAATACTGTATTACCCAAAAATCATGATTAGAAAAAGAACCTTGGGGCAGCTAGGTGGCATAGTGGATAGAGCACTGGCCCTGAAGTCAACAGGACCTTAGTTCAAATCCGGCCTCAGACCATGCACTTGACACTTACTAGCTGTGTGACCCTGGGAAAGTCACTTAACCCCAATTGCCTAAAAAAAAAAAAAATTAAAATATATTAAAAAAAAAAGAAAAAGAGCCTACACATTATAGTTCAAGAAATAATCAAGAAAAACTGCCCCAATATTTTAGATGCAGAGGGTAAAATAGAAATTGAAAGAATCTACTGATTATCTCCTGAAAGAGATCCCAAAATGAAAATTCCCAGGAATATTATAGTCAAATTTCAGAGCTCCCACATTAAGGAGAAAATATTGCAAGCAGCCAGAAAGAAACGATTCAAATATCATCGAGCCACAGTCAGCATTACACAAAATTTAGCACTTCTACATTAAAGGAGTGGAAGGCTTAGAATATGATATCCCAGAAGGCAAAGCAACTAGGCTTACAACCAAGAATCACTTACACAACAAGACCGAGTGTAATCCTTCAGGGAAAAAGTGGAAATTTAACGAAATAGAGGACTTTTAAGCATTCCTGATGAAAAGACCAGAGCTGAAGAGAAAATCTGACATTCAAGAGAAGATAAAAAGGCAAACATGAAAAGAGCAACCATAAACAGACTCAATAAAGTTACAAACTGTTTACATTCCTATATAGGAAGATGATACATGTAACTCCTAAGAATTTTATCATTATTAGGGCAGTTAAAAGGAGTTTACATATTCAGAGGGCATGGGTATGAGTTGATTACATTGGAATGATTTCAAAAAAAGGGGGGGGGGTAAGAAAGAAAGACACCCTGGGAGAAAGGAGAAGGAAGAGAGAATGGGAAGAATTTTCTCACATAAGAGGCGTGCAAGGAGGAGCTTTTAGAATGGAGGGGTAAATGGGGGTGGGCAATGCTTGAACCTCACTCTCACTGAAATTGGTTCATAGAGGGATTAACAGACACATTCAGTTGGATACAAAAATACAACTGACCCAACAGGGAAATAGGAGGGAAAGCAGATAAGAGAAGTGGGTGGGATGATAAAGAAGAGGTCAGATTAAGGGAGATGGTGTTTAGAAGCAAAATAGACTTTTGAGGAAGAATAGGTTAAAAAAGAGGAAGAAGAAACAGAAGATTATAAAATGGAAGGAAATACACAGTTAGTAATTGTAACTGTAAATGTGAATGGGACAAGTTCACCCAGAAGTGGATGGCAGACTCCTACAATATTGTTTACAAGAGACACATCTGAAATGGAAAGCAACTTGCATAGAGTTAAAAGAAAGTGCTGGAGCAGAATCTAATATGCTTCAGCTAAAGGGAAAAAAAAGGCAAGGGTAGCAAGCATGATCTTAGACAAAAACAAAAGCAAAAATAGCCTTAATTAAAAGATAATCAGGGAAACTATATTTTGCTAAAAGGTACCACAGACAGTGAAGTAATATCAAAAAATT